CTTCCTTCCTTCCGTCCATCCTTCCTTCCTTCCGTCCGTCCTTCCTTCCGTCCTTCCTTCCTGTGGTTGGTCCTTCCTTCGTTCCTTCGAAAAACGTTTATCTTTTTTCTATGGCCCGCCCTTCGTCCCTCCCTCCCTTCCTTTCTTTCTTTTCTTTCTTTCTTTCTTTCTTTTTCTGAGGCAGGGTCTCGCTCTGTCACCCAGGCTGGAGTACAGTGGCATGTTCACAACTCACTGCAGCCTTGACCTCTCAAGCTCAAGCAATTCTCCTGTCTCAGCCTCCCTCTGTGGCTATTTTTTTTAAACTGAGAAATACTTATTTTTTTAATCTATTACAGATAAGACAGCATCTGAGTTAAAGTCTTATGGTATATATAGTTAAAGCAGCCTTGATATTTTTTGGTATTTTAGAAAAAATCATGTTGTTTACTACATTGCCTTTATATTTAGACAATTATAGTTATACACGAGAAAAAATGTAATTTTGTTGAAATGGGGCAAGCTCTGGAAGAAACTTTGCATCTAGGGAGATAATCTAACAAGATACTTAATTTATCTTCTACAGAAGAACTGCAGAAATGATGCCTGTTTATTTGGACTTAAATAAAGCAAGAAACATCTTCAAGGAGTTAACCCAAAAGGACTGGATTACTAACATGGTATCTTCAGATTGTTATGTGGAGAAAGAAAATAGACCAGAATATTTCTTATAAGAACTCAAAATTTCAGAAGAAATGTTTTGTGTTAAGGGATTCTCCGAGACCTTGTAGCATATTCAGATTAAGTTAAACTCAGATAACAATTAGGAGTTTGCCCTTTTAGGGTGAAATAATTGGCATAGTAGTCACACAGGTTACAAATATTCTAAATAATGTGTCTGTACACAAACACACATGCACATATATGCATACACATTATAGAGGGAGGGAAGTTTTTCAACTCAGGGCTTTAGGAAGATGATTAAGGATTTGTTGAGATTGGCACACTAGAATAAGAACATTTTATGTGCAATCCTTTTAAGCGTAAATGTAGAAATAAGAACATTTTTTCTGATATGAATATCCTTCTCACCAGGGACTGCCTGGATTCTTTGTTTTTTTTTTTCCATTCCACTTTTCTGTAGATTCTAGAATGTTCTTGTTCTTTATGGGATGATTGCTTTCTATTTCAGCACTGTTAGTACTATCTTTAGGTTTTTTTTCTTGCAGGTGCTCCAAACATGCTTCCTTTACTTTTATTTTTATTTTTTTGGAGATGGAGTCTCGCTCTGTCGCCCACACTGGAGTGCAGTGGCACAATCTCGGCTCACTGCATGCTTCCTTTATTAATTTAGTTTTTCTTAATGTAGTCTTTATTATTTCCCTGTTTTCTTGTACTGGTTGATATAGGGATACTACTTTCTGTTCTTTTCTCCATTTTTTTCTCTCTGGGTCTCACTGTAGTTCCTTCTTTTTTTCTCTCTCCTTCCCTCCTCCCTTCCTTCCTCTAGCCTCCCCCGCATTTTTTAGTCTCTCTCTGTGTTTATATCCCTCTTCTCTTTCCCTCTCAGTCTTTGCTGTCTCACCCTTCCTCCTTTCAGCTCTGGCAGTTGCTCTGTCTGCCACAACTAGCATTCTCTATTTCAGCTGCAGGTTTTCTCATGCGTTCCTTTCTTTCAAGGGAAAATGGAAAGTTCAGTTGTCTTAACTTTGGCAGAACCACAGCCCCACTGGGGGTCTGAGGTGAAATGGTTCCCTAATTGTGTACCTTTATTGGGACTCTGCAACACTTAGTGCTGCCTGTGTCAACAACCCAGAAACTCTGTGGACTATTTCATCAACGTTTGTTAGTGCTCATTTTCTTTTGTTTTTTAAAATCCTCCTGTGGAGGCCAGTTTAACTTTCTGTAAGATTCTGAGTCATTGCTACTAAATCCAACCATGGAAAGATTACCAAAAATAGAAGCCCTTTTGTGCATCTGTGAAGGAAAGGGATTGGATCAGTTCATCATTAAAGACTCCGCCTGTTTACTAATTATACCTTGATTGTGCCACAGAAAGAACATATGGTGTGTAAATGAAATAATCATGGGGCACCCTTGACCTCCATTGTTTCAGAATAAGATGATTGGATTAGAAGACCTGTAAATGTTTCTTTCTATCTTGAGGTTCTGTGATATGGACTCTCAGACCTTTGGCATGTGTTCATTTATTCAGCAAACATTTGAACACTTACTATGTGCTGGGCACTGTAATGATGACTCTTGATGAAGAATGAAAGAGATATACTCCCTGTCGTTTAGAAGCTCATACTGTAGTAAGGGAGACAGATAAATACATGCATACACTAGTGCAAAGACCTGGTGTGTTTTATACTTCACTATCTTCACTAGTGCCTAGCTTAGAATGTAGCCTGTGCACAATATTTTTGGATGAATTGAGTCATTATTAGGGCAGTGAATGGTTAGCTCTATTTACTCAAAAAGTTGCCCAGAGGAATTAAGATCTTACCAGGTGCTCACGTGGAAGGGCATTTGAGGCAGCTAGAAAAGCATATGCCAGAGCACAGTGTGTCAGACAGTAGGACTGGCTTGAGGGTATCACAGTCATTCTAAGGATTTGGAGTAGGTGAGGAGGCTTGAGGTTGTGTCTGATGATGAGCAAGGAGGTAGAATGTGTGTGTACTAATAAGATGTTGAAATAGAGTTGTCAGGTATACTAACTCCAAAGACTGAATCTCACTGTGGGAGTCCAATATAATGTTTTAATATAAAAATAAGTAATTACAACAATTTGTACATTTACAGATATCATTCAGCCACTCTCTCATAATATAACGATTAAGAATTTGGGCTTTGGAGTCAGAAAGATCCAGAGAAATTCCCACTTAGCTGTGTGACTTTGAGCAAGTTACTTAATTTCTCTGAATCACAGATGAAGTAAAATGGGATTAATATCATCTATGTTAGGGAGAAACTATAAGGGTTAAATGACCTAATTAATATATGTACATCACTTAGCACAATAATTGACAAGTAGTAAGTATTCATAAATACTAGTTTCTCTTCATATTGGGATTTTAAACAAATCTTTACTATGATCTAAGCACACATAACAAAAATTCAGAATTCCATTCCATTTTTTCCTAAACAGTTGCATTCTGAATTGGGGAAACCATAAGGAAATTGGAGGGGCTAGAAATTAGAGTCTGTGGTAGAGACAGTTGCTCTTACGGAAGATAATGAGAATCATGTTAGATTTTGTTCTTGAAATTGTTGGATTTTGTCTTTTTTTTTTTTTTTGCTTTGTTTTGTTTTTCTGCTTTTTGGGGTTCTGATGCATTTTTACTCTTGAAAAAAGAAACCCAAGGTGTGATAGTGTAAACCAGAGGGTAGAATATAGTACTTATGATTGAGAAGGCTGTTTATTAGTTCTGAATCCATTGTTCATTCAGTGTAATTTTTGCACATGTGCTTTTTTTGTTTTTCTTTCTTTCTTTCTTTCTTTTTTTTTTTTGAGACGGAGTCTTGCTCTGTGCCTGGAGTGCAGTGAAACAATCTCGGCTCACTGCAACCTCTGCCTCC